GGAAAAATGGATAACGGTTTGTTTTTTTCAGTTTTTGATTTTGTGTTTAAGTGAATAATGAAAAAAAAAACAGATGATGGCCGTTTCCCGTTTTCGTGACTTAAACTGCGGTGCTGAACTGAACAAGGACTGAACCAGGACTAAAACAGGTCCAGGACCAAACCAGAACCAGACCGGGACAGAGACTAGGACTTAGACCAGGACCAGACCAGGACTGAGTATGGGACCAGACTGGGACCAGGACCAGGACTGAGAGCAGGACTGAGACCAGGACTGAGGCTGGGACCAGACCAGGATCAGAATGTGATTGAGACCGGGACGAGACCGAGACTGAGACCGGGACCAGACCAGGACTAAAAACAGTTTAGTCCTGGTTCAGTCCTAGTTTAGTCCTGGTCCAGCATCGCAGTTTAAGTCACGTAAACGGGAAACAGCCGTTATTGTTTTTTTTTCCATTTTTCATTTAAATACAAAATCAAAAACTGAAAAAATGTATCATTATCAGTTTTTTCATTTTGGTTTTGGAGACAAATAATGAAGAAAATTGTTTTTGTTTTTTTGTTTTCTTATTTTTGGTTTTATATTGAAAAACGAATGAACGAATGATACACGGATTCGTATAAAACAAGTGCACAAATCATTTAAAATTATCAACATAAAGCTTCGTCATGTAGACTTACTCACATAACTTGTATGTATAGTATATAAAAGTATAGAAAATTAGATACTTATCAACATTAAAACCAGTATTCAAACTAGATACTCATTTGAGCAGGCAATGATACTAAAAAAACACATTCACAGGACAGAAATTCATCTTTCCCGAATATGATCTTGAGCTGTATCAGAACAAGTATAAGAGCATAAATATAAGAGCACAAATACCTGGATAACTGAGGGATTACACAAATATAAGACGACACGGTAGTAAAGAAGAAAGTACTATTATTTAATGCTGAAAATGTCATTCCACTGCCTAAATAAAGAGTTTTTTTTTTAATTATTATGATCTTGGTATTGAGTCTATTCCTGAGTACTGAAATCGAGTCTCTCAAGTATGAGTTAAAGTACTGTGTCTAAAAACTACTACTGGATACTACCACCTCAGTATTTCCTCTTCCTATATACCACATACATGTTACCAAACAGTTTGATTTGACTGACAACCCTTCAAAGTTCAAGCCAGACTAACTTAAGCCTCAGTGTTCATGATCAGGTTTGAAGTTGAGATAAAAGCACTGACCTTCCCTCACTTATTTTCCCTTTGGTTCTTTGATCAATTAGCCGCCATGTTGTAGACCTCTCTGTCAGGGCACCACAGCACCACAAACACCAGAACAAAGGCCCGCTTTCAGATTGGGCTCTCAGGGGCCTCTTAAAAAGGTTAATGGATTGAGATTGAAGTAGTAAAATATGAGCCACAAAGACAGAGGGAAGATGAGGTAATTACCCTGACAGAAGCCTAGGCTGTCTGTCACTGAGCTCCCAGATAAACTGCTAAACCCTGCTAAACTGACAAATGAGTGGAAATGATGCAGCTTCAGCCAGAGACGAACAGACTGTAATTAAGAGGGACATGCTCCAATTTCTGCATCTGTCATCAGTTATTTATATTGTCAAGCAGGACTGGCTTTTTGATAAATACCATATTATTATGAAAGGCAATCATAGCAGAGACATATTCAAAATAATGGCATGTTTTCTAATATTTTATGACAAAGATTTTAAAAGCACTGGGTAGCAGGATAAGGCAGCAAAACAAAAGTACTGTAGTGTCTTACTGTAGGTAATGAAAGGACAAAAATAGTTCAGAAGATGTTGCTTTTTTGCGAGAACTGAACTGGTTACTGTCGGCTGTAACCACGCCATTACAATGTTTTAAAGGGACAGTTCAGAATTTTGGACATAGGAGCTCATTTCCTAGTTAGCCAAAGTGTTAAAGACGTGCGGAGACACTTTTTAAAATATTCCATCCAGTCCTTGTATTTGCAGAGGTTGCTAGTGCTAGGCTAGTGCATGTCAATGGCCATAGTTAGCCTGACACTAAAAACAGTCTTACCCACTCCACAAAACACCCGAAGCAAAACTATTATTACGTCAGACTGTCGATGTGAATGTCTGTGTTCATAGAATAATGTTTGAAATAAAACAAACCTTGCATCTCTTGAATCGTCACATGTTGAGGGACTATTTTCAGCGTAATTTTACTTTGCCGGCAAAATAGGTGCTAGGTGATATCAGTCCGCCGCTGCCAAACTTTCTATCAGGAAGTACAACTCTCTGCTGCTGCTCAGACATAAATCCTTCAAATGCAAAGTTAGCAAGGTTAGTAGTTAGAACTTCTAAAATTATTCTATTGACGCAGACATTTACATCGACAGTCTGACGTAATAATAGATTTGCTTTGGGGGCTTTATGGATTGGGTAAGACTGTTTTTAATGGCAGGATAACTATGGCCATTGACATGCACTAGTCTAGCACCAGCGACCTCTGCAAATACAAGGACTGGATGGAATATTTAAAAAAGTGTCTCCACACGTCTCCAACACTCTGGCTCACGAGGAAATGAAGTCCTATGTCCAAAATTCCAGACTGTCGCTTTAACATTTACATTCTTGCAGGTTGCTATTGTATAATTGCAATAACAACCCATCAAAACAACACAAGTTAAAGGGCCCATATTACGCTTTTTTCTGATCTGTGTTATAATGTTGTTTCCTCATCAAAAACATACTTTGGTACAGGTGGAACAGAGTGTTTTGACCTGTGGAGTTGAAGACAGACTGATTAAGGATTACTCAGTCATGTGTAAATGAAAGAAAACACAACCCCAAGCATGTTTTTGAGGAGATAACAACATTTTAACACGTCTTAAAGCTCACATGAGTCATTTTGTGTAATGTAGGAGAAGCATTATGTGACTTGTAGTGGGCCTATCACCTGTTTGTCTCCATGATGTTATTGCTTTGCCCAGAATATTCGCCATTAAACTTGTGTTTTTCAATCCATTATCAATCGGTCTGCAACTTAATAAATGCAAGATTGAACACAATAGCACCCCCATAAAGACCATGGAAAAGAAAAGTTGCATGGTGTGCCTTTAAAATGTAGAAAATACAGTCAAGTTCCTAGCATAGATGTCTGAAAAAAAGCAAGCTAAAATGTGTATTAATCTTGATTATTTTATCACAGTTGCATCAAAAATAGATTACATTTGTACTGACTCACATTATTCAAATGGAATTTTCAATTCTGCATTTTTCATTAATTCTTTCGCTTATAGATACTTAAATGGATTTTTGAGACTTGCAACATATGTGGCAGTTAAACAGTGAATTCCCAGAAAATAGGCCTTTTAAATTTTTGCCATTTTGACGCACTCCTATGAATGAAGACTATATCGTATCGCTCAGGAGTTAAACGTGCACAAGCGTTCTATCTGCAGGTGTATACACAGAGGTTTCTTTGACTGCTCACCTGCCTTTGCTCTTTGATGCTATGTGCTTGAACCTTAACAGAGGGCTACCTTACTCCTCTCCATGAAGCCTCCACTATTTCGCTCCAGGCAATGTAGTGTATGAATTATTTAGAAACAGTGGCGATGCATGAGGAATTAATATTCAGAAATGTTTTATTATGTGCTGTCAGCCCTCCCTGTCTCTCCTATTTGTCATAATGAATAATCTGTATTCCTCTAGTTTGGTCAGGGTCGGAGACCATTGGTAACGCGTCATGCATTTAGAGCAACTTGTGACTAGGCTGCTCTATTTTGCACAGGTTTGGCTGATGATGTTCTCATGCACTTGTAAGATCCATCTCCCTGGACTTAATACATTGTTTAATAAAGCTACATCTACAACAGTAATCGCTCCAGTTAAGTTATTTGATATTTGCATTTTACTCTCCAGACCATTAAAGGCTTCATTCAAGGTGCAGTCCAGCGGTGAGCACAGTTCACGGGTTCAATAAATAATGCATCAAAACATGAGCGAGAATTTCATTTGGAGAGTGCTCTCAGAATTTTAAACAGAATGGCTCCCCCTAGTGCTCATGTCTGTTTTACAACAATTAAAGCACACTGGATGCTCGCAGTGGACAGATCTGGATAAATAATTTGTGATATTCATTTGGTGCAATTAATCAAATTTTAATCAACACTGAGATTCAGTCATTTCTAACTGTCAGTGCTCAGCGTGGGTCTTTTTAATCAAGAAGTCTATGGTCAATACACAGTAAAAGCATTGGACAGAGTTCAAACTTTTAGAGAAAGAACTGTTTTTGTTTTAAATGGCACTGATTAAAAGCCTGCCTTGTTTTTGTTCACGGAATTAACATTGAAAGATGATTTGTTTTTTGATAAGACAAATAATCCAATCCAAAAAGATTGTTTTCACATGAAAACAACAAGAAAAAAAAAGATTATAATGAATCAGTTATTTAACCACTGAATTTATATAGCACCTTTCAGTTTACCCAAAGAGCTTTACAGTGCATTATTCATTCATTCCACACTCAGTGACCATAAGCTACTATTGTAGCCACAGCTGCCCTGGGGCAGACTGACAAAAGTGAGGCTGCCATTGTGCGCCATCGGCCCCTCTGACCGCCACCAACACTGACCACATTCTTACTAGGAAAAGTAGGTGAAGTGCTTTGCCTAAGGGCACAATGAGGTGCCACTGGTGCCCCACTGTGGCACTTAGAATCCCAGCGGGCTTCCGAAACCAAGCCCGGCCTTGCTTAACCTCTAAGATCTGATGAGATCAGGCTTTGACAGGCTGGTATGAGTCTAAAAGACCATGTATATGCAAATGAACCTTTAGTGTATTCAAATTGAAACACAAATACCCAAACAGTGCTGCTTTGTAAGTCAAAATGCATGATAGAAATACATTTCAAATTCAAAGGGATTCAGCAAGTTGTGCTGGAGCAGAGATGTAATTCATTTTCAGACTGAAAAACAATCTCTGAGTGCGCCTCCTAATTCATGACTCAAGGCTCAGTTCAAACTCAATTTTATTTAGTATGCAAAACTAACAGCTGCCGGCTCTTTGTGCTAATAGGGTTTGGTAATGTCTTTGTCCAAGACAAAATGTTTCTTGGGTCTTCTACAAAGGCAACAGTTTACAGGAAAAATACACAAGACTTTATTCTTTTACAAAACAAATGTAATAGTGTTTTAGCTGCATAATAGACAAAGTAGGACATAAAGAGGCTACATAAACATTTGTAAAGTGTGAAGCAGCTAGATTTTTTAACCATACAGAGCTAAAAATTCTGAACATATTTTGTTACTTTGTCTGGTACTTAAGTTGGCTCATGGGAACCCCTGCAACTGTTGAAATTACATACATACATCCACTGTGTAAAAACAAGGAATGTTTCTGAAGCTTTAGACTAAGCCATGCACATTGTTCAGCTCATCCACAATGGTTAGGACATTTGATTGTCTCTTTCAAAAATCATTACAAGAGCCAGAGGCAATGTTGTAATAATACTACATACTCAAGATGGATGACAGTGCTTAGACCATGGATCTATAAAAATATTAAAATAAAATAATTAAAATAATAAATAGGCTTAGACAGATCATGCAGCCATAACATTCTAAATTACATGCATTTCCTGAAAACTACCCCATACATGCTACTTTCTGGAGCAGTTCTTTGTTGAATAAGGCCTAGATCAGGGGTCCAACCTGTAGCTCGGGAACTACCAGTAGCTCTCCACCCCCTTCCAAGTAGCACGCCAAGGGATTTCTGAATTACAAGTATAGTGCTGAATAAGTAACATTTGATTAATTAAACGGCTTTTGCAATTGTACATGTATCATATTGATGGCAAACTTTGTGCACCAATAAATGAATAATGGTTTATGTTTTATAGGCATCTAACTGTACCTCATCTAAGGCTCGCTTTGGCTCTTTTATATACTTAATTTCTTATAACGCTAAAACTAGTAGCTCTCTGGCATTATCGTTATGTAAAAGTAGCTCATCGTAGGAAAAAGTTTGGAGACCCCTGGCCTAGAAACTCAAATATTTTTGAACAGTATTGTAAAAGCAAGGACTAGTGGTGAGTAAGGCCTTATGTAATAAAACACTACACCTGTTGCATTTGTGTTAGTGTGGAGTGTGCATTGGATGTTTTTCTTTGTCATTGTTCTGTGGTGACGCTGGTCACGTATAGCCTACTGACCGGCGGCCATTGACCAGATGTAGTAGGAGTAGTAGGAATCCTTCATTGAAATGCCCATATTGGGTCAGATCCCATCCGCTTCTGGGAAAATAAGCAGACACTAGAATGAATAGAAAGCATCATCCATTGAGCTTCCAGAGCACTGTAGACCTTAGAATAGCAGCGTACATGTGAAATAAAACCGGCTACATATTATTTATTGTGGTAAAATCTCACGTTTCCGATAACTGCGGCACGAGCGGAGACATGCGACGTGTGTTCCTGTTCCCGGATTGGCCACGTTTACCGGGAAACCTCCTCGTGACAAGCCGGCGGTATAAATACTGCGAGCCGCGCTGTTCCTAAGCAGCCCTGGTTTCTGAGGGAAAATGTATCGTCTCGGCCCACAGTCTTTCTCCAAGATCGCTCTCATTTCCTTTTTGCCTGCTGTGCCACGGGATTATTTTCATTTTACGAGACAATACAATAAAGGCTGGTCGTGTATTGGCTGATTTTGGATCAACTTTGTACTTCTAAACTGCGCAAAAATGCCACGGACCAAGAAGAAGAACGGCAAGGGTGAGTGTGAGCGGCTACAACGCTTGTGGCCTAGTTTAGCCTGTTGTCGCGGCTAATGGGAGTTGTAGTTCTTTTGGAGTCGTTCTGCCATTGCGTGACGTTGAAAATGCGTGCAACGTGGACTACAAACGTGTGAGCTTGGCGGGCGAAAAAAAACAAACCTAGCTAGCTGCTATTACACAAAGCATTGCAGTGTGTGGGAAAACACGTTACGAGATATTTGTCATTTAACGTTATGATACATTGATTTATAGTTGTAAACGGATTATAACAGTATCGCTAATGTTAATTATGAAGCGCGATGCAAATGTGATCATAACATTGACGCAAAATTGCCACGTTGTTGCTATCAAACAATTTTAGAGCTACATTTACATCTTATTTACATTTATCTACTTTACATACTGGATTATAGCTAAACCGGGACAAAAATGAACAAGTTTATGCTTTCATTTGATCGATCGATGTAGTGTTTTTCCTTTTACGCATGACATCCAGCATTAACCCAGTGCTGACGTCAAACTGGTGACCAAGTTGGTTAGATAACTGACTTTTGTTATTAGTTATGTTGCTGTGGGCAATTGCAGTATAGTTGTGTCTCTAAAAATCGATATTTAGGCCATCGGAGTGCGATAAAATGAGGAAAAAGGCGGCGCCCTGGTGCTTCTTCGAAATCAGCTGGCGGAAGAAAAAAATAGTCCACGTCAACACATGATACAGAGATAGGGAACTTCTTTGTCCACCAGCTGACTGTAAATAACCTTATGTGGTGTATAAATTGGTCTATTGTGTGTCATTTAACAGCGGATCTCATTTTAACTGTATTTTTAAAGTTTTGGAGCGACTGTCACCCCATTCGCACTCCAAAAGCTATATGAGGACAAGATCATTTTAGGATATGAGCACCAGTTTTACGAGGCACAGACTCTTGTGGGAAATTGTTCAGGGGTTATACAACGTGTTTGAGCTGTAACTATCGAAACAAAAGACCTTACCCAACCCCCATCTTATTGTGGACTTGGAGCCATGCTTCTCTAGCTAGTGTTTTACTACTACATTTCTCGTTAGTTTTTATGCGCACGTGCTGGTTACTATTTGTGTAACAATATGGTTATTCATTACATTTGTAAGTACTTGGGAAAACACATTCATAGTTTCCAGTGTTCTAAAATATTTATTGAGCTGTTTCATTCTACCAGCAAAAGAATAGACTTGTATGGTGAATATTAGCCAAAATCCTATACAATTTTATTAATTTAGTAATAAACGTCTATAGCTACTGTTAGTTTGAAAGTTTGTTTCTAATATTGAGCTATCAGCCAGTGGTTAGGGAAATCTTTATACACATGTTGCTGTCTTATGATCCTGGTATTATTAATAATCAGAGACAGAAGAGTCATGATGACCATTTTAGGTGACAACTCCAAAGTGCTGTGGTGATTCGACTCAACATGTAAGAAATAAAATGTATGTGATGAAAGTATAATAGCCATGCTTAACAGAATTGGGTATATAGATAAAAAATGATTTTGTATTTAAAATCTAAATACAAAATGTACAACTAAGAGGGTAAGCAGTAATTTTGGCTGATAACAGTGTTTGTCACGTTGACTTATCTGACCATGTCTCGCCAACCTGATGTTTGCATATCCCACGTGTTTGACTAGAAACGTGGCATCATTCACATCAGATAATAAAGGTACCAGCTGCTTGTAAAGGTTGTGGTTTATCTAATCTTCTGCTTTTTGCAGCACCTGTCAGGCTGTGCTTACATAATGCGCAGAAGTGCACCTTTTTAATTTTTGTTTTTGTGTTAAATTAGATTTTAACTTTCTGTGCAGGGGGGCAGCATGGACATGTGCAGCCTTTCAGCGATGAGGACGTTTCCATAGAGACGCTCAGTCATTGCAGCAGCTTTAGTGACGCCGCCAGTGTAGCAGATGAAGGTATGTTTTACGATCAGTCTAAAAAAAACTGCAGTTTTTCTCCTTGGGCATGTTTTCCTTTGTCAAGGTGCTCTCTGCAGTATTTTTTTTTTTTAAAGATTTTGTTGTGTTGCCAGGTGGGGAGGTCAGTGAGGACACAGCCCAGGAAGACTTCCAGTACAAGTTGAAAGGGTTCATTGACAGCACTGTGGACAAGAGGTAAAAATGGCAGTGGTTTAAAGTTCCACAGTATTCTCAGTTTACAGTATGTTTAAACTATTATTTTAGATGTCAGTAATTAATATAATGACTGTATATAAAGGTTCTTAGCATTTAGGCATAGATAAAAATTGTCAGTCCGCACTGGTATACAGGACAGTAATGAACTTAAGGATGACTCCTTTTAAATTTTGTTGTTGCTTTAGTGCCAAGACCAGACAGGGGGCGCTGGACGGGCTGAAGACGGCTATGGCCAACCGGATCCTGTACGAGTTTATCTCAGAGAGGAGGATGACCATCACAGACAGTATTGAGCGATGTCTCAAGAAAGGTACACCTCAAGTTATTACAGTATGTTTTTTTTATTTTTTTATTTTAAGTCTAATAGGGTGGCTGGGGTTGGAGCATTCACTCCCCACCAAACTAAAGACTCAGCTTGAACCAATGCATACCACCATTGTGTTTGTTTATACTCCCATTGTGTTTGGGAGTCTTGCCCACCTTGCCTATGGATGGTGGCTGGGGGAGGATGAAGACACAGATTGGCTTCAGTAGTTCAGCTTTTCCCCCCAGGTTTTTACTAAGGCTATGGTGACACAAGCAATTAATGTTTAAATAATTGTATACAAATCAGTCTATGCAGTTATTTCCCCTTTTGACCACAGTCTCCTCCATTAGTGGGAAACACTTGTACTTTACAATTTACCAGAGTGAATGAATACTGACTATACTGTAGCACATTGGGAAGGTTGATCTGTGCACTTATGTAAATCCTTATTGCTTTATTTTCTTTGGTAATTGTACATTTTATGGTTCACTGTTAACCTAGCCTTAAAAGTGCACTGTGTAATTTTTCCGATGGAGGATAAGTCACCTGCTGATCTCCATGGAAACAGCGTTATTTTGCCTATAATATTCCGCAGTAATATTAATCTTGAGCAAACTGGTTGAGAAGATGGCCCAAACAGGTGAAGTTACAAGTCAGAACTATGGAAAGGCAAGCCCAAATGATGCAAGAATGTTTTTCAAGGTATTTTTGTGCAGCAAAACCCCTCACCTAAAACAAAATAAAATGCAAAAGGGTGTTATTTTGATGCTCTTCTGTAGAACATCCAGGCAAATCAATAAAATCTGCAGACCATCCATAAGAAACGTTACACAGTTTACCTTTAAGCATACAGCAGTTTCAAGTATTTCACATATTCCCTTTTTTGAAAATGCCTTTCTTTTTGGTCTTAGGCAAAGGCGAGGAGCAGCGGGCAGCGGCTTCTTTAGCATGCCTGCTCTGTATCCAGCTGGGCTCCGGTATCGAGAGCGAGGAGGTGCTGAAAACCCTTAAACCCATCTTTAAGAACATTTTGGCAGATGGATCAGCCAACATCCAGGCCAGACAGGCTGTGAGTACCTGATAGTTGTTGAAGAAGAGATAACACTCTACTTAATACTTCTGTCATATAATATTCAAATCACTTTTATGTTATAGGTGGCGACAAGCTTGGGTCTCTGTACTTTGGTGGCAGAAGATGACATTGTGGTAAGTGCCTCCTCTCTGTGTATAATTTACAGTTGACACTTCTGGGCTTCAGGGCGAGTTGGTGTTTTGTATTCCCTGTTCGTCGGATGGTTGTCCTCATTATCAGCTGTGACACAGTCTTTCCCAATGTCAACATTTGTGATTGCAACAACACTGGCAGATAAAGTTACAATAAAAGTCCCTTCGTGCCACTAGCAATTATTTGTGATGGCTCTAGTATCGTTTATTGTAAGTACAGAGGAGGTTTGAAGAACTGAAAGAATGTAAGTTTTACACTTAATGGCTGTAACACAACATTTAAAAAGGACAATATAACCAGAATTGAATGCCATTAACTGTTAAAGGCAATCTAGTTTTAGACATAGGATCTGTCAATCCAAAGTGAGGAGTCAATTCTGCCTAATCTGCTTGAGAACCACCTATAAAACTAAATGTAATCACAAACAACTTTAACAATATGTACAGTAGCTTTGCAGTTGAGTCAAGTTATCAGAAAACAAGATTTTGCTGGAATGTGTTTGTCTTATTTTTAAACACAGATATGAAATGTTTACAATTCCCGCATATTTACACCCTTTTGTTTCTTATTTTGCTTTTAGGATGTGTTTTCTACCATGGAGTGCTTCGAGAGCCTCTTCACCCGCTCGTACGCTAAAGGCGATGGTACCTTTCCCTCACTGAATCCTCAGATGAGCCAACTCCACACCAACGCTCTGCTGTCCTGGGCCCTTCTACTCACCATCTGCTCAGGCAGCCAGCTCAAAGAAGTCCTCCGCAAGTAAGACCACAAGACCTTTTATCCTCAATATGTTGCGTTTGTGACATTTATAGTGACATGATTTCAGATGGAGAGCAGGGGCTTTATAAATCTAGCCAATTCACATTTTTGAAAGAAATCCACACTTGTTGAGCCTTTTATATTTTTGTTGGGAAGTGGGTATACAAGCATCATATCTGTATTTTTGAATAAAGCTGCCACAAATCAAAACTGTCAGAGTAGCCAAAATATCTACACTTGAAGTTAAAAAGACAACCCTACCACAGCCCTGTAGCTCAATTTTAAAATCTAGGTTCTTTTAAAGTGGTATGAATGCAACCTATATTTCCCAAACTCTTGAATAAGCACCAAATACTTACCAGACACACATGTATTTTGCAGACACATGCCCAAACTTCCTGGTCTATTGGAGAGTGAGGACGTCAACATGAGGATAGCTGCTGGAGAGACCATTGCTTTGCTGTTTGAATTGGCCAGAGACATGGACGCTGTAAGTTGTATTTAAATGGTCTATTTATAGTTGTAATGTTAGTTTTTGCTTCCTCAAAATTGCATGCTTATACCGCTTATGTGCCACAGTTGGCTTATCGCAAGAACAGCTTTCATGTTTGAATGTACTTTCCTTTTTCTTGCAGGATTTTGAAATTGATAACTACACTGATCTGTGCGATAAATTGTCTGCACTGGCTACAGACTGCAACAAACACAGGGCCAAAAATGACAAGAGGAAGCAACGTTCGGTATTCAGGGATGTGCTAAAGGCTGTGGAGGTGAGACCTGGTTTCACTTACTAATGCACCGTGTGACCTTTTCTGGTAAAGGGTTTGTTGCCTGGGTGTTCTCATCGAGGTGTTAGTTATTTACCTAGAATGGTTCACAGCATGGCTTTAAACTAGAATAAAAGATATATTTCTGAGTAATAAAAGCACCTGTATTTAAAATGTCTTTGCCTGGGATGTTCCACAGCAAAATTAAAATGCTAAATAGATTTGTTTATTTCATGGAGACAACCCTCACAAAACAGTTGAATAGTTTAATTTATGACGCATGAAGAATGTAAGGCTTAAGGTGCGCTAAAGTCTTTTTGTCTCATTTCAGGAAGGGGACTTCCAGACAGAGACCATTCGTTTTGGGAACGAGCGCATGACCATTGACGGCTGGGTGAGGAAGAGGACCTATGACGCCTTCAGGGAGTTCGTGGGCTCCGGAATGAACTACCATCTACAGGTTTGTTATCGATGCTGAAAATGTCTCAGTCTACTTTAGATTTATTGGACACAATGAGAGACTGGCCACTTAAAGACATTCTGGTTATACTTGTAATAACTGAAATACTTCAAATAGGGCTGGGCTGAAATGAATCTCACTTTTCCTTGCCTCGTAACAGTCGCATTTCTCAAGTCTGAACTCTGCCCTAAATCACATGTTTTTATTGACTCGGGGTTGGCTGTACATCTTGTTTTTAAAAAGACCCAAGCTTATTGACTATTAGAAATGCCTAGGGATGTAACGATTTCCAAATCCCACAGTACGATATTTATTGCGATATTTTGAAGAGGGTAATATAATTGTAGATGGGACACTTTTTTTGCTTTTTAAAATACCTTGACAAGATTTTGCTGTGAATTATTTCCGTCATAATCCCAAGAATTCAAGTAAAAAAAACGTAGATCTTCATGTTGTCTGCACTGAAATGAATCATGGGATATGTAGTTTTTGATGATCATAAGCTGTTGCCGCTGTAAAACAATGCATTTAAGCAAAGGAACTTGTAATTCGATATATTGTGACAGTCCATGATGTTATTGTGAGACTTTTGACAATGTGATATCACAGTATTTCCGTTATTGTGACATCCCTAGAAATGACCGAATAAGCCCTAACCTTTGAGCAATTGAAGTACGTGTGTGTACATATTGTATGATTGGACTACAACCAAATACACAATGAAATAAGTCAGTGATTTGGATTTTAAATCAAAGGGATCTTGTATCAAATTGTGAATAAATGTATGTATGTCACTTTCAGTTTTTTTTTTTAAAGTGTTCAGACCAACTAATATAACGTTTTGTTTCCAGGCAAATGAATTCATCCGCGATGTTTTTGAATTGGGACCACCCATGTTAGTCGATTCGGCTACAATGAAGGCAATGAAAATCTCTCGCTTCGAAAGGGTGAGTGGACCTGTGCTGTCGTGTTCTGTCACTTTGAACAGACCTGACTAATGTTATTCACGTGTGTGTTTAATGTGTCTAATGCTGTTCATCATATGTTCACTAGCATCTCCACAACTCTGCTGCATTCAAAGCTCGGACCAAGGCTAGAAGCAAGTTCAGGGACAAGAGGGTTGATGTGGGAGAATTTTAATGTATTTTTCTTTCTTTTTTTTTTTTTTTTTTTTTTAAATGTCTAGTAATGTATTTATAAAGCTAACATGAACTGTCGCAGCTTCATATTTAGATCTGCCTTAAACTGAGTACTTTGGTTGCTAAACAATAGTTGTTTGGGTGAAATCTCGGTGTTTGGCAACCAGGAAGTAGTTTGGGTGGTTATTTTAAATGGAACCGCAAAACAAGTGGTGATGTAAATAATGCACGTTTTTTTTTTTTTTTTTTTCCATGTTATAAGTTTTAACATTGTATATTTGCTTCTAGTTTGGCAGCACTTGACTTAAACATATTGACTATTATATTCATGTTCGAAGACCACAAAGCTAAGACGAATACACACCAGTTGCACTAGGTGGAGTATAAGCTGCTTATTCCTGTACAACCTTGATCTATATTGTTTTGCAAAGTACTATGGGCTAAACTGTATTGTGTGGAAAGTTAATATGTAGTAATAAACACTGATGAGCTGTCTCGGTAATACATTTTTATAAAGTGGAAATGGTGGGGAGACTAATCCTTCATACATCCAGGCGTCATTCAACTTTTCTAGAATTTACCTCCCAGTTCTCTTTCTTGGTTCCAAAGTTTTCTCCTAATGGTGGTTGGCAATAAGATGGTGTAATCCTTCATTTGTCCAGACATAATTCAGTGTAGTGGGACGGGAGGCGAAAAGTCTTGATCACTAAAACAGACTCTAAATCACCACCGATAAAACCTCAGCAAATGGTGGGAAGGTCGTTAAGTGAACATATATAACAAAAAAGAAGGAAGGTGTTGAGGAAAACAACCATTTCCTCTCGTGTTTGTGTCTGCTTAGATAAAAAATACACTTGAAACAAATAAAGTCCAGATAATTTACTTATTCCAATATAAGAAAGCCATACTTGTACAAGCAGTATGGAGTAAGAAAGCTTTCAGAAATATTCGTGTGCATATTTGACTTTAGTTGAGCATAAAATATTTGACAACTCGAATGCGTCCAGTCGTACCTAAAATGTATTGTGTCTATTTTATCCATCAGAATAAGAATTGAAAAGTTACGACATCAAGAATTACAAACACGAAATGAAAATTTATGATTACGTTTTCTTCAGGATGAATACGAATTTTGTTGTCCTGGTTCAGTCCCTATGCGGCGCAAAAGTCCAGCACCACGATCTGTTTCTTCTGCTCAAAAAAATACCTGTGAAGTGATGTATTTTTGACAATAAAGTCACGTCTGTGAATTTGTTTTCGTACTGAAGAAAGCGTAATCGTAAATTTTCATTTCGTGATTGTAATTCTTGATGTCGTAACTTTTCAATTTGTATTCTGATGGATAAAATAGACACAGTACATTCTATGTACGACTGGACTCATTCAAGAGTTTACAAATATTTATTTTATGCTCAACTACAGCCAAATATGCACAGATTTCTATCTTATGCAGACAAATATTTCCGAAATCTTTCTTACTCCATAAAGGACTCTCTGCTGACTTTCCCATGCAGAGACTCAGTGTTTACACCTATGCAATGACATATATGAAAACTATAGTGGGAGGCTACTATGGTTTAGACTTGGAGCCTCTTAGCATGTTGTACAGTCCAATCAGTCTCCATCTGGGGTGTTATCTGGCTAACAAGTCATGACATCATCCCTATCAGTAGTTCTTGTCCTATTTAGTTTGTTCGCTATTAGATAAATTGGAATATCATGCATTTGTCTTGACATATCTATGAGTCTCTATGAGTATGTGATCAGAGCCCTTATCTTCAAATGACCGGTACAATAATGAACTATAAAAGTGATTATAGAAAATAGCTAAGCCTAGTTATTTATCCTAACAAACGATGCAAGACTCAATGCATGCTCTATCAAGAGAAGAAAAAGGGGCTGCGAAATTATAGGTAAACTAAATGCTTTGAGTTAGAAAATCATATTATGGACATAAGTAATATAAAGAAAACATGTAATATCTTGCACATTTGGCCATATTGTAGATCAATATCAGTACACTACCCTCCACCTGCAAAGTTATAACGCATCTTTAAAAGTCCTATATTACACAACATTAACTTTTGTGAGCTTTTAGCCATGTTAGAATATTATCTCCTTAAGAACATACCTGGAGTTGTTTTGTTTCATTCACACAATTATCCAAATAAGTCTAATGAAGGTGTATGGAGTTAAAAAACACAGTGGAGCACTTCCTGTATAACCACATGATACACAATAAGGTTTAATAGAGTGTTTTTGCTTGAGAAAAGTTTAAATATGCATGTGTGAATGAAACAAAACACAACTGCAGGTATGTTTTTGATGAAGAAACAACATTAAAACAGATCAGAAAGTAGCATAGGCCCTTTAAATGCTCCCTGTATGTTTAAATTTGACTACCAACATGAATCTTTTTTTTTGTATAGAGCAACAGATAGTTTTTCTCAATAGCCCCGGTGTGGTTTTGTGTTTCGCAGCAGGCTGTAATCGATCTACAGTACCACAGGTGAATCGCTGCTCCCTTCAATCCAGACTTCATACATTTTTCATGGCTGTCACTTTGAGAAGGAAACTCTAGTGTCTTTTGTCCTCCTGACCTAATTATTTCTAACCTTGCTACCCGTTTGAGCTCGTGGGTGAGTCTTTTTATAGTGTCGTTCGTTCTGGTTAAAACCAGTCATGAAGACCACACAGACCAAGACCGAGGTATGACTAAAAGCTAAAGAGTTTGACCAAGAGAAGTTTTTATGATGTGACAGATGAGAAGAGGGAGCAGCTATGAAATCCTAATGTTTTACACCAACAATTTAAATTTATGGATATGGAGAAACTGGTATTATATATTAGTACACTGATCAAAATCATAGGCTATAGCAGTGGTGGAACGTAACAAAGTAAAAGTTGTAAAATACTGTACTGAAGTATACATTTTAGGTATGTGTAATCACTACATTTGGAGCACAACATACTTCTACTTTTTACTCTTAAGTATATTTATAATTGGTACTATAACACTTTTACTTAACTAGATTTTTTCATTTGAGTATTTTTTTTTCTGGTATTTGTAACACTGGGCTGCAGCATTAACAAATATGAAAGATTAAACATCTTTTAACTTTAGATGCAAATTATAAGTACATTTGGAATTTTATAAGAGAACATAAGATTATGCTTAAAATTGTAGTAGTATTTATTTACTCCAGGGGTCAACCTTTTTCCTCTGGTGAGCTCATTTACAAATCAAAAATGCAAGAGAGCTACTTATTTTAGCGGTTTTCAGAAACTGAGAAAACACAGGACCCATGGCAAATCTTAGATGCTTATGAAACATAAACCATTATCCATTTATTAGTGCACAAGTTAGGCATCAAAATGATACATTTACAACATTTACAATGGTAAATAATCAGATTTTAGTTATTAAGCACAATATGTATAATTCAGAAATCCTTTGGCGAGTTGCTTGGAAGGGAGTGGAGAGCTACTGGGAGCTCCTGGGCTACAAGTTGGAGACCCCTGACCTAATGTCTATCTACACTCATTGATTCATAAGTACAACAGAGAAAGTGAAGTAACAGTATTTTAACTCTTCTGTGCACACACAGTACAGTACAGTACAGTAGGCACTAGGGTTGTCAAAAGTATCAAAAATCAGATCCCAGTCGATATTAACACTAGCATTGACACTAGATATTCAGTTGAACTAGTATCAATACTAAAAAAGTTGTATTTACAGAACAAAAAAGAACCTTTCCTGAATTGCTTTAGAATGATCTTGAACTGAATCAGAACAAGTATAAGAGCACATAAACTAGTATACGACACTATGGAACCTCCCTGGACCACTGAGGATACACAGATATGAGATCACACAGTAATATATATATATATAAAAAAAAAGTACTACGATCTAACACTATTTAATATATTGGAATCAGTATTAAGTATAGATTCTATTCCAGTGTTTCCCAAACTTTTTTTCTGGGGACCCATATTTTAAAAGTCATAAACCTCATTCGTAAATCACAAAATAAAGGTGGATTTGACCATTATTGAACATTAATGGTGATATTTTATTGTTAACTGAGTGATCGTGTCTCTCTGAACAATTATTACTCAAGTTTTAAGCAATGAAAAGCAGTAATTGAACCAGAAATAAATGGATCCATAAGTCGCCTATTTGGACATTAAAGGTAGCCCATTTCTTTTTCTTTTCAACATTCAATTGAACCAGCAATATTGGAACAAAACAGTCAATAAAATAATTACAAAAAGATTAGAAATTACACCAAAAATGTCTTAACATTTCAACATTTCTAGTGAGATAGGTGGGCCTGTCTGGGTTTATTTAGCGAATTCCAGTCTGGGGTGCATGAGGAGAAGGGCAACATGCAGATCAAGCGACCCAAAAAAAATCTCTTGTGACCCACCTGAGGGTCCCGAACCAGTCTTTTCTGAAACAATGCTCTGTTCCTTAGTACTGAAATCAAGTTTGAAGTTTAACAATTGTGACAAGACTAGACTTAGACTTAGACCGACTTTATTGATCCACAAGGGAAATTACTTGGACACAGTAGCTCACACATTGCATTATAGCACAGTAACAAAGAGTAAAAAATATAAAAATGCTTATAAACTTCTAAATAAGTATCAATAAAAAATAACGAGATTAATCGGCTCAAGTAAAACCTGATTTAATTCCATGGTGCTGATAACAAAACAGATGGTGAGAACAGTTTATTGAGTAAATCACATATTGCTTTTCAGTCCACTGAGCTCAGAGCCTGTGTCCAATTCAGATTATGGAGAAAGTCTAACTTAAAGGTGCACTATGTAACTTTTTGGTTGGGGGTCCCGTCACCTGCTTGTTTCTATGGATATGACTTTTCTCTGCCTGGAAATGTTCCACAATATGACATTAAAGAGCTCTACCTTACATTTATTCAATTACAGGTAGTTTTATAGCTGTGATTCTCCATGGATCTGACCTGTAACTTGGTCTGGTTTGGTGTCCATGGAGATAGATAGATTTAATGCCATACTGCGAAATATTCCAGCCAAAGCAATAAGGATAAATTAATGACCACTATAAGAAAACACCCTTTAAATTGAAATGGCTGTATTAAGTTTTTATGTATTTGCTTTGTCATCTGTTCCTGGAGAAATTACGCACTGACTTTACTTCAGACATAATTTCCTTCTACTGCTTTTCTCTGAATAGCTTCTGTTTCCTATAAAACTAAATGTGCCTCTTCTGTTTGAGCAGAGAAACAGGCTGAGTCATAAGAACTGCATTCAGAGGGGACATGCACGTCTCATTCTTATAAAACACCACTGCAGCAGATGGACAGCAATATTTTGACCTGAAAGTTTTTGAATACTGTATTTTTCTGACTATAAGTCGCACTTTTTTCATGGTGTGGGTGGTTCTGCAACTTATACTCCGGTGCGACTTGTCACTTCGCTCTACTGCGCATGTCTACTGCAGAAAA